CATCCAGGTCAGCAGGGGCGGCGGCTTTAGGCGGTAAGCCTACTCCGTGGGCCGAGACACGCAAACCAGTGCACTTGGGCCCCAGGTGGGGCCGCACACGGGCACCGTCAAACAAAACTGGTGGCTGCGGGGACTCAGGAGGCCTCAGAAGCTCGGGCACGCCGGTGTGCCTGACGACTCGCGCCTCGTCGAACTCGCCGAAGTTGATGCCCTGGCCGTGCTGCAGCACGTCCAACAGGTACCACAAAGCCTTCAGGTCCTCGAACGTCTGTAGCCTGAGCCACTTCTCGTCACACGTAACCTCGAAGAAATGCACAGCGTCACCAGGTAAGGCTTGGGAAACATCTGACACTTGATCGTCAGCAGCCTGTCTCTGATGAAGCACGTCGCCAGGAGCATCTGGCTTGCGTCTGACACCCTCAGATCCCGTAGAACCTGAGGTATGGTTTTTCTCCCTGCGTGAAGCAAAAGGTTTGGATGAGGAGCTCGCCATCGGCCTCGTCGAGCCATGCCACCTAGCCCAGGAAGGGTAGTGGTTAAAGCTGCGGCGCGGTCTTCGGCTTCTTGAGCTTGGCGCCCAAAAGGGCTTGGGTGAAGGCCCGATTATCGCCACGGTGCTTCTCCCAGAAAGCTTCGGCAGCTGCTTCGTCTTGGAAGGCATCGTCCATCTCAGCGTCGTGTGGCGTGGGCACGTGCTCAGCGCCGTTGACGTGGGACTTAGATGCATCAGCGCCAGGACCAGCAGCAGCACGATGCACAGCGAACAACTTAACGAACTCCTTAAACTCGGCCGTTTCGAGCATCGACTTGATCGCGTCTTTGCCTTCCAGGGCCTCAGGAGGGAGAGACAGATCAACAGGCCGCTTGTCACCACCATCAGCAGCTTGACCAGGAAGTGACTGCACATGCTGCCGTTGCAGTTCAGCCACCTCTGCCTCCGCTGCGACCTTGCGCGCCTTGATCTCGTCCGTCTTGGCATTGAGCTCGTCGAGCAACTTGTTATGCTCCTCAAGCTCTGTCGTGACCTTCTCCATCTTCGTCGTAGCCCGAGCCAATCGATGCCCCACATTGGTGTGCTGCGTGATGCTCGGCTTCTTGCTCTCGATCTCCGAGCGCACCGTCTTGAGCTTGTTCTCAAGGAGCGTCCGTGCCTCGGTTGTGTCGTCACTTTTGCCACAGGCCTTAATCGCACACTCGAGCTCGAGCACACGTGCCTGTAGTGGATCCTGTCCGTCACCACCGCCTCCTCCATTGGACTGTGTGCCACCATGCTGACCAGGCCCTTGTCCAACAGTAGGGGCTCGGGCAGGCTTGGCGACTCCACCGATGAACTGGTCCAGCTTCTTCTGCATCTCGGCCAGCTGGGACTCCAGTTTGGCCTCGCGCCTTGACCCTGCAGCAGGGGGACGGCTGCGCCCAGGATCCAGCCGAGTAGGGCTCCCGCCACCGTTGCCAAAGGCCTTGGCGCGCTGCAGCACGAACGCGGGGGCCTTCGCCCCGCAGCGGCACCGCAGCCTGCACGCCCAGTTGCTGGTGAGCCCGCAACTCTGGCAGCCCCAGAACGGGGTCTTGGGGCCACGGACCACATCTGCACCATCCATGAAGGCCGCCGCACCGCTGTGCCCGCGACCGTGTCCCTCGGAGCGCCGAGGGTCGAAAGGGTTGCACCGCCAGGTGCTCACTGAACGCTTAGCTGAGGCAGCCAGGCCAATGGAAGGGGCTGCCCTTCCACCTCAGCCTCGAGCCTCTGGAGTCGGGACGGGAGGTAAGCTCCGTCTTGAGCCAAAATGGCTACGGGGAGCGATGCCAAGCCTGCGGGTGGAAGCTCGAACGATGCTCGGGCGTACATTCACCGGGGGTGGCGGGGGGCAGACTGTGATGCCGGACGCACTGCGGTAGTGCCGGGGACGCACTGAGGGGGGGAGCGTTACTCTTATGGGAGGGAGGGGGGGAGGACAGAGGTCATACCGCGCTTTATGGCCCAGAGGTTACAACAACAGTCTCTTGGTCCGTGAACCTCGATCCTTGGTTCTCGAGCCTCGACCCTCGCCCCCCGTGGGGCCTGGCGCCCACCAGGGAGCGGCGAGGGCTTCGCCGAAACCGCAACAGCTGAGACCTCGAGGGAGAAAAGGGCCGCCCGACCCCCGGACCCCCGACGCCGTGAAAATTCTGTCACCACGTGGGCCCCTGCAGATCTTCAGACGAAACTGGGACGAGGACAAATCGAGTGGGGAAAAATCGAGAACCTCTGAGATCCCGCGGACCTGGAGGATGTCTCGGGCGCCGCGGCCTTCCCAGAGCGTTCTGGAACGCTCCGAGAGCGTTCCGGAACGCACTGGAACGGATTTATCCTCGTACTAGCCCCGTCCGAGATATGTCTGGACCCATTCCCTGGGACCGTCTCTTCCTTCGGAGTCGACCCTTTGACAGTCCTGGGCCCCCAGAGCACTCCCATATGGCGAATCGCCAGAAGCCTCCCGTCGTGATCTTCTTCTCGGCGTCAGGAATAGAACAAGAAAAAACGGCATAGACAAAAAGTTTTGGCGCTCCGCGCGGATCTCGTGGATCTGCGCCATGCCCACCTCAAGCCCCTGCAAACGGTGCGTTAGTAAAGGGGCTGGTAGCCAAAGGTGCGGTTTCAATGGTGCCTTTAACTAATTGATTTGCCGCGCTCAAGTGCGAGGTACCCCCCCGCCCAGACTTCTGAAAATGTCTTGACGCTTTTGTCGTCCCGATGTATCACGCACTCGTGCGAGGTAAATGCCCTGCCACCCCGTTCTCGCTTGAAAATAACAAGTGGCACGCGTGCCCTGGCTCTTGCACAAAGAAGCTGCGAAGGACTGGAGGCCCGCGCCTCCTTGTTCCAGGATGGGCTCCAGTCGGTGTAAATGTTTATCCCGAATTCGGTTTTCATAAGGTTAGGGGTCTGAAAGAGCCAGCCTCTGGGGTGTCGGGCTCAGGCTCAGGAGGGGGGGGCCGAGGGGGACGAACCACAACGAGCCACGACGAAAATAAAGGGTTCCGCGGCCCAGGGGGGCTGTCCTGGGAAGCCTGGACGGAGCAAACCTCTAAAGGGCGGGTGGCCCATGGGAGCTGGGGCTCAGGCTCAGGGGAGGGGCCGAGGGGGACGAACCACCATGAACCACGAACCACGACGAAAATAAGGATGTCCGCGGCCCAGGGGGGCTGTCCTGGGTACCCTGGACGGAGCAAGCCTCCGAAGGGCGGGTGGCCCAGGGGAGCTGGGGCTCGGGCTCATGGGAGGGGCCGAGGGGGACGAACCACCACGAGCCACTACGAAAATAAAGATGTCCGCGGCCCAGGGGGGCTGTCCTGGGAAGCCTGGACGGAGCAAGCCTCCGAAAGGTGGGTGGCCCAAGGGAGCTGGGGCTCAGGCTCAGGGGAGGGGCCGAGGGGGGCGAACCACCGCGAACCACGAACCACGACGAAAATAAAGATGTCCGCGGCCCAGGGGGGCTGTCCTTGGAAGACCTGGACGGAGCAAGCCTCCGAAGGGTGGGTGGCCCAGGGGAGCTGAGGCTCAGGCTCAGGGGAGGGGCCGAGGGGGACGAACCACCACGAACCACGAACCACGACGAAAATAAAGATGTCCGAGCGTTGGAGCACAGCTGTGCAAGATAATAAAAAAGGTCTCGTCGGCGGGAGCGCGCTGGCTGGCGTGTGGGGGGGGCGTGCCGAAATAAAAGGGTCGGGGGGGGGGCGGCGTGCGTGGGTGGGTAGTGTGGAGGGGGGGGCCTGCCGAAATAAAAGGGTCGGGGCGGAGGGCGCGCTAGCTGGCGGGTGGGAGGGGCGCGGAAGGGGCGTGCGGGGGGGGGGGGGGGGGGGGGCGCGCCGAAATAAAAAATGGTCGGGGCGGAGGGGGCGCGCTGGCAAGTGGGTGGGGCGGAAGCGGAGGGGCGCGCGGGATAGGGCGGGGGTGCCGCGCCGAAATAAAAAGGTCGGGGCGGAGGGGGCGCGCTGGCTTGGTGGGGGGGATGCGGAGGGGGCGCGCGGATGGGGGGGGAGCCGAGCCGAAGTAAAAAGGTCGGGGCGGAGGGGGCGCGCCGGCTGGTGGGCGGGGTGGATCCGGTGGGGGGCGCTGGCGGGTGGGGGGAGTGCGGAGGGGGCGCGTGGGATGCGAGGGGGGCCGTGCCGAAATAACACAGGTCGGGGCGGAGGGGGCGCGCGGGGAGGCGGGGATGCGGAGGGGGCGCGCGGGGCGCGCGGGGAGGGAGTGGGGGCTGTGCCAAAATAAAGGGGTCGCCGGGCGGAGGGGGGCGCGCTGGCTGGTATGTGGGGGGGGTGCGGAGGGGGTGTGCCGTGCCGAAATAAAGGAGCGGGGGGGGCGCGCTGGCTGGTGGGCGGGGTGGGGGGTGGGGAGGCGGTGTGCCGTACCGAAATAAAGTGGTCGGGGCGGAGGGGTGTGCCGTGCCAACATAAAGGGGTAGGGGCGGAGGGGCGCGCTGGCTGGTGGTTGGGGCGATGCGGAGGGGGTGTGCCGTGCCGAGGAGGGGTGTGCCGTGCCGAAATATAGAGGTCGGGGCGGAGGGGGCGCGCTGACTGGTAGGTGGCGGAGGGGGTGTGCCGTGCTGAAATAAAGGGGTCGGGGCGGAGGGGTGTGCCGTGCCGAAGTAAAGGGGTCGGGGCGAAGGGGCGCGCTGGCTGGTGGAGTGTGTGGGTGATGGAGGGGGTGCCGTGCCAAAATAAAGTGGTCGGAGCTCTAGACACCCTGTGCAAGAGAATAAAGCCCTTAGCTACCACCCTGGCTAACCAACGCCCCGTTCGCAGGGGCTTGGGGCCCATGGCGCGCCGAGCGCGCCAGGGGCGGCGCCGGAGGCGCCGCCCGAGGAGGCCCAGCGCGGCTCCAAGACCTCCGCGCGGAGCGCCAAGAGTTTCTGCTTCTGCCGTGGCGGCTGCTTCGCAGGAAGGGCGCCCGAGGCCCCAGACCGAGCCGGCTCCTCGCTCATCGGTCCTGGCGCCCCACTCCTCGAAGGCGGGGCCTGGTCCACCAGCGGAGCGAGGGCGTTGCCGGCCAGGAGGCCGGTCAGCCCCCCCGCCATGAGGGCCAGGTACATCCTCCAGCACTTCGGCTCGACGGCCTGGGCGCGGGCACGCTGCATCTTCGGGGGACCTCGCCTGTCCCCCCAGCTCGGTGTCTTTTCGTGCGCCCGACGCCGGGCTCGACGCGATTTGGCGTGGATTCGACGCGGATTCATGGACTCGACGCGGATCCGACGAGCCCGACATGGATTCCACACGGATTCGACGCGGATAGGGCCGCGACGGGACAGACGAGGTCCCCCGAGGATGCAGCATACGGCTCGGCAGTCGAGGCAGGGAAGGGGGCAGCGGAGGAGCAGGATCGAGGGCACGTGTCCTGAGCAAAGTCACGACGGGCGTTCCTGGGGCGACTCGTCCACCTCGAGGGCCCTTCCTGGGCCCCTCCTGGGCCATCTCCTCCTCCTCCTCCTCCTCCTCCTCCTCATCCTCCTCCTCATACTCCTCCTCCTCCTCCATCGGCTCAGGATGGAAAGCTGGCCCTGTGGAAGGGGTCCAGACCTCCAGGGGTCCACGCTTTGAGGGAAATCGCGAGGTCGGGGTCTGGGAATCGTCATCCAGGGCTGATCAGGCCATGCTCTGGAGACGGGCTATGCTGAGTAACAGCATGAGTAAAAGCATCAGCGACATGATGACGAGCGCTTTCTCACTCGGCGTTTCGACATTGTGCGGAAGGGGGGGGTAGGGGGGGGTCTGTCTCCAGACCTCTGCTTGCTGCGACTGCTTGCAAAAGTGCGTCCTATGGGGTTTACCTCACCTGCTGGAAACATGCTCTCAAAACAGCCAAGATCTACTCCAGGGTGTGGGGGGGAAGGGGGGCGCGAGGGCCCGCGCCGATCGGCAAAACACTTTAGAAGAAAACGATCGCAGGAGTGGGCAAGCTGGCCCTGGACGGTGGCTCGGCAAACCTGCTTGAACAGTGGGCGTGCCTGGGGCTGGGCCTCGAGGCGACCAGGATCGAGGAGGAGGAGGAGGAGGAGGAGGAGGAGGGGAAAGAGGAGGAGGAGGAAGAGGAGGAGGAAGAGGAAGAGGAGGAAGAGGAGAAATAGGAGGAGAGTTGGTGGGGGAGGAGGAGGAGAAGGAGGAGTAAGAGGAGGAAGAGAAGGAGGAGGATGAGACATCGAGGCCTCTGTTTGCTCGGCGCCATTCTGTACCCAGACCCCTCGCGTGGTGAAAACAGTGACGGTCTGTTTGCGGCAACTTTGTCTGGGGACACTTCCTCGACCTCAAGACGGTCCAACAACGATCTGAGACGAACGACCAGCTCTAGGCAAGGCCGGGAGCCGCGAATCACGATGCGGGAGGTCTGAGGACGAGGAGAAGAAGGAGACGATCTTTGGGGATCAGGAGTACGATCGAGTTGCTCCCCACCTGATAGGTTAGGGTCGTTCGATATCTAAAATTTATATTATTTGCCATGCTTCCCAACCCGCTCACCCTGCATACCGCGGCCGCCAGATTTCCGGGTCCACCGAGTCCCCCGGGACTCCCCCCTCGCGCCGACCCGCACACTCTGAATACCGCGGCGGCCATATCCACAAGCCCACGGAGAATCCCCAGAGACTACCGCCTCGGCCCTTCGACGAGCACGACGACACCTGACATAATGGAACATAGCACCACACATCAAAGCATAACATAACATCGCCAGCATTTCATAACACAACACACCATACCATATCATTAACATCGAGTTGCAAAGTAGAGTTGCACACCACATCAACACATACCATACCACCCCAAATCATGATCAAACATACAATGGCATAACGCGATATAGCACAACGGCATACCACCATGCCATAACACACGTAGCATACCATGTCATCACATATGAGTCAACAACACAACACAACAGTGCATGCAATAACACATCGGAGCATACATAACATCACATACCCACACACATCATAACGTCACATATCATAAAATACCATGCGCCTCGCATAACACAGTCTAGCATACCACAGCATACAATAACATAGCAGCATGCAGCCCAGCGTAACAACGCATGCAGTGACAACACTAAACATACAACACAGAACATACCACCACACGTAATAACACTACATATCATAACAGACCCTAACATAACAAAAACATAGCATACTATGCCATACTAGGACACAGCTGCGAATACTATGACCCTGCATCCAACCATCTATCATTCCATACCATGCTAACTATACGATGCCATATCGCGGCATTACATGTTAGACACTAACACAACATACAATCTTGTAATACTATCAGTACGGGGAGGGTACCATGCCATGCCATCACATACTATAAGATCTATAAGATCACAGAGCACATCAACATCACGCATGCAATGACAGGGCGATCCTGCAACCCACAACATAACAACACCCATCATAACGTAACGAAGCATATCACACCGTATCAGAACATGACAGAGCAATACATGCCACACCATAGCAGAACATAGCATCCCATACCACAACAACAACTCGCATAGCAGTCCAAAACATGTCACGCCATGCCATGACAGAACGCGGTAGGACATCTCAATGAACAACATAACATCACATCGCATAACAAAACATGACGGAGCCTGTCATGGAGGAACAGAGCATGACAAGACGCAACATCGAACATGGCGTGATCCAACATCGTATATTATGACACAACATAACACAATCGAGTACAACCTAACAACATAGCGTAGCATACGTGCTTTACAATTGCTACTACGGCGGGAGCGACTGTATTATACCATCGTGGACTCTAACATTTGGCAGAAACAAAGCCATGCCATACCATAACGCATCATCATATCATGAGCATATCACAACGTTGACAGCATACCATAAGATAGTTGTTCAACGACTGCTACATCTACGACTGAGTTCGGTAGAACATCAAAGACTACAACTTCATTGACTACATATATATACGTACATACCATAACAGAGAAGACCCTGATATACTACAGTGAACGGAGCATCACGTACGCATTCATCATCACTGGGCATATCATACTATATGCTAGCACGACAGTGCATTTCGCCATTACATGGTGCCACAAGACAAAGCATGGCATAACATATCAAAACAACCTGTGACATACGTGACCAGAACGTACATACTTTCCGAAGGGGGACAAGAAGAAGAGGCGAATAACATCCTAACATAACGCATCGCACTATCATCTAGTCAAATGAGACGTGCGTGCCGAGGTCAGGCTGGCCACGGGAATCAACAGGCGCGATAAAGACTGATTGGATGACGAATCGATGTGACAGGCACCACGACGTCACGCTGGCCCGTCCAGAACAGAACAGACCATGGCATAGTGTGATTTCCTACGCTGGGGAACATCCGAAAAGAATATAGCCTTCTCCTCCTCCAAACCCTCCTCCCTCTTTCAACCAGGTTGCAAATTCTCTCCAAATACTTTTTTAGGTGTCTTGCTCACATCACGCGTGTGGGGGTTTGGCTCATCGCTCTAGGAGGCGCGTGCACCGTCGGGAGCAGATGCCGATGGTTTCGGTGAAGATCGCTCGGAACGAAATAACTGCTATTTTGCTTTTTGTTTGTTACGTGGCTTGTATGATGATTGCTCAAGTTCTTGAATACCGGTCCATCATTGTTGGACGTTTATGCCGCATTGTTGAACACTGGGAGGCTCCTCCTGTCCGTGGCTAAATCCGCGTCGGAATTGTCTCGGTCAAGGGGCAATTGAGAAAGAGGGGACGCGGAGTCGAGAAGGAACCTGACGTCACAAATTGAGATCTGGGTTCCGGAAAAAAACCGCAGGCCCCAGGCGTCCAGCGTCGTGAAACAACTCGGGATGTTCATGCTGCTGATGGTGACAGCTGTGCTGGTAATTGCTATGGGAGGGAAGATGAACATGGTGATGACGCTGGCAGCGATGATTACAAGAGCTAGGCAATTAATGATTGCGGCATTCGTGATGTCGGTGACCGTAAGAGTGATGGAGTGGGTCGTGATACTAATATCTACGAGTAGGTACGATAATGATAACAATACTGGCTGCTCATTTCTTCGACTTGGCTCCTCGGGGCCCGTTGACTGGTCCTGGGACTGTCAACAAATGGCCCTGGGTGAAGCAACCGTCCGCAGGGTGCGGTGGAGACAGGAGCCCGTTACAACAAAAACAACAACAACGACAACAACAACAATCAGTTTAAGATTGTTCGCCCTTATCTGCTCGAGTGTCCAAGAACGCGTATTTCCCAAACCCTCGATACCCGCCCTCTTCGTCTTCGATCGAACCTCTTTTGGGGGGTATACCTGTCATCCCTGCAGGCCGGGCCGCGGCAAGCGGCGGGGCGGCCGCGGACCGTCGGCCTGGCCAGCGGCAGCGCTGATCGGCGGGGCGGCCGCGGACCGTCGACCCGACCCCAAAAGGGACGGACAGGGGACCGACGACGACGACGACGACGATGACGACGACGGCGACGACGACGACGGCGACGACGACGACGAGCGGAAGCGAGAGCGAGAAAGAACGACAGCAGGGCCACAAGGACACGAAGTAGGCCACGAAGGACCACAGCGGGGACACGAAGGGAATGCGTATGGGGCCACAACGGGCGCGAACGAGCGGGGGCCACGAAGGGCAGATAATGCGAGGCCACAGAAGGCAACGATGGGGCCACTGAGGGTAGCAACTGGGCCACGTAGGACAGTGAGGGGGCCACAAACGGCGACAGCGGGGCCACGAAGGGCATGCACATGGGGCCACAACGGGCGCGAACGAGCGGGGGCCTCGAAGGGCATACGTATACTGGGCCGCGGAGGGCAAGGACGGGGCCACTGAGGGCAGCAACGGGGCCACGAAGGGCAGCGAGGGGGCCGCGAAGGGCGACAGCGGGGCCACGAAGGGCATGCATATGGGGCCACCACGGGCGCGAACGAGCGGGCGCCACGAAGGGCATACATGGATGGGGCCACGAAGGGCAGCGAGGGGGCCACGAAGGGATGCAACGGGGCCACGAAGGGCAGCGAGGGGGCCACGAAGGGCAGCGAGGGGGCCACGAAGGGCTGCAACGGGGCCACGAAACAAAGCGAGGGGGCCACGAAGGGCTGCAACGGGGCCACGAAGGGCAGCGAGGAGGCCACGAGGGGCTGTAACGGGCCACGAAGGGCAGCGAGGGGGCCACGAATGGCTGCAACGGGGCCACGAAGCAAAGCGAGGGGGCCACGAAGGGCTGCAACGGGGCCACGAAGGGCAGCGAGATCCCTATTCCTAGGTAATCTGTCAGGGAGTCCTAAGTGTGAGCGCGACTCCTGGGTGCCTGGGTGTCGGGAGCGTGGCGTTTGAGTAAATTGCAGGAAATTCCAACGCAAGGGAGCTCGGGCGGGAGCGGGGGTCCTGGCTAAATTGTGAGGAAGTCTTAGGCGGGAGCCGTTGTTGTTGTAACCCGGGGGCTAGGGGCCCAGTTTGAGCCTCAAGACTTTCCCTGATCAAAAAACCAGGTGCGAGCGTCGAGGGGCACACTTTGAATGAGAAAAAACAGTATGCACCGGTGGAGGGGGGTCAACAGTAAGTATTCTTCAAAAAATTGAGTTCAGCAACAACAGCAACAACAACAGCAGCAACAACAACAACATCAATAACAACACCACCACCAACAACAACACCAACACCAATACCAACAACAACAAAACACGTAACGACGGATGAGGTCGTCATCAAGTAGAGGAAGAGATGTATGAATAATCATAATAAGAGGACAAAGAGGAGGCTGAGGAGCAGGAGGAACGCAGGGCGGCGGAGGAGGAGGAGGAGGCTGAGGAGCAGGAGGAACAAGAGATGGATACATAGTCATAGTAGCAGTGGCAATATTTGTGGCAATAGTAGTAGCAGTACTTAGTAGCCGCACCAACAGTAGTAGAAGTAGTGGTGATGACAGCAGCCCTGGAACTAGACCAGGGAGGAGTAGGATGAAGACGACGACGACAGCGACGACGAGGACGAGGGGGGCCTGATGGAACCCGCCGAGCTGCAACCCCTGCGCGACCAGCATGACGACGCGTGAGGATGCAGCAGTGGACCTTTCTCTTCCTCCTCCTCCTCCTTCTCCTCTTCCTTTTCCTACTCCTCCTCCTCCTCCTCCTCCTGCTCCTCCTCCTTCTCCTCCTCCTCCTCCTCCTGCTCCTCCTCCTCCTCCTCCGCCTCCTCCTGCTCCTCCCCCTCCCCCTCCGTGCTCCTCCTCCTTCTCATCCTCCCGCCCACCCCCCTTCTCAACTCACTTCTGCTTAGGCCCTCCCCTCCCCCCCCGCGCCCTTCTCCCCAGCGCCGCGATTGAGCCGCTGCCGCGGCTCTCCTCTGGCGGCCTCCCGGGGTTTCTGGAGTTCTCTGGGAGTCTGCGGAGGGAAGCCCCGCAAGGCTTCTGTACGTCCAATGTGGCCTCTGGAGGTCAACAGGGGATCAGCAATACTGACATCTTCGATGCTCCCCCTGCTCCCCATTGTGCGGCGATGCAGCCGGTGTTCTTGCCTTCCCTTCCTTCCTTTCCCCATGTTCTCCCTTCTGAGCAGCGCGTGCACCTACCTCGGCTGCTGGTGGAACAGGACGGATTCAGCTCCGCCTTCTCACTCCTTCTCCTTCTTCACTCCTCGATCTTCCCTGAACCTCCTCCTCTCTACTCGTCCACCTCCACCTCCTGCCGAAGACAGAGGCGTGCACCTCCGGACACCTTCCTCCATCCCTCTTCCTTGTCCGCCACCGTGCCGCGCGGCACGAGTTGGCGTGTCCTCAGGTCCCTTGCAGTCGTCAGCATTCCACCCCAAGGATAAACATTAAGGCGGCCCGGCTCTTTCGCGGTTCCCCGTGTAGTGTCGCATGACTTTCTCGGGCCCAACGACGGGCCAAGGCAGCCCCGAGAGGCCTGTTTACACGGGTACAAAGGGGGCCCCGAGTCACCGAACGGTCGGTCCAAGACGCCAAAACGCGCGAGATGGCCTCCAGACGGCCCCAAACACCTCCAAGAAGCCAACATCACTGGATTTCCTGATGTTTTTTGACGAGTCTCCGTGGTCTCGCTTATTCGGTCTTCCGACGCTCCAAGACGACACCAGAGGCTCTCAAGATCGCTCCAAGACGGTCCAAGAGGCCCCCAGGAGGGCCTCAAGGCGGCCTGAAGAGGCCTCCGAGACAGCCCGAAGGCCCCCACGACGGCCCAAAGAGGGGCCCAGGAGAAAGAACACGGACTTACTTTTCGCGCCGTAATTACGCCCCGAGAGGGCCCCTGAGACCGCCAGCAGGCCCCCAAGAGGCCCACAAGAGGCCCCAAGAGGCCGCCAAGTGGCCTATAAGAGGCCACACGAGACCCCAGAACGGCCCCCAAGAGGCCTCAAAACTGCTCGAAGCTCCCAACGTTACACAAGTGGAGCACAAGTCGTGTTCAAAGTGGGATTCTCGCCTGGGCGCCGCGCACACTCGTTCCACCAAGCCCAACGGCTACAAGTGCGGAAGGGAGGTTCAAAGTGGGGCTCTCGCCTTAGCGCAGGGTCTGAAAAGCTCGCGACAGTTACATCGATGGAGGGGGTGGCTTTCAAAATGGGACTCTGGCCTTAGCGTCGCGTGCGCCCGTTGTCCTAACAACTCTCGACCGCTACACGGATGGACGGCGGCGCGTTTCAAACATGAGGCTTCAACTTGAGATCTCCCCAGAGCTCATGGCCCGAAATTTCGGCTTTACCAGGAGTTCTTGAGGCAAACCTCGGCCAGCTTTTTGGGTCAACGCCGAAGGGGCGAACGTGCTCAAGAAACTGGGCCAGCTCCCTGGTAAATTGGTCCAGCGGCACTGGCCCAGCTCTGGGGCACGAGGCCTCTTGACCACACGCTCAACCGTCCACGTCGTTCATGTCTACTCGTGCTCATTTCTTATTGTGCTCGTTTCTAATTGTTCCTGGCCCCCTAGTGGCCAGGAAGAGGCCCAGGATAGAACAACTAGGAATGAAAGGATCCTGCCCCCCCAAAAAAAAATCAAAGAACTCTCGAATACTTGGAAACGAACAAATGTGTAGCTGTGACTGTGCGCAGCGCCTCCACTGCTGGAGGGCCGACTCTCTCGACCCCGAGCCATCGAGCCAGACGGACGGAGCAGGCCCTGCACACGACGGGGCCCCTCGCGAGCGGCAGGCCCGCGGGTCGCGCTCGTCGGTCAAGGGGCGGACACGCTCTCCGCAGCGCAAGGGCGCACGTGCCCGAGAGAGGCTCACGAGGAGGGGGGGGGGGCCGTGGAGTGGGGCTCTGGGGCGTGAGGCGGGGGGGGGGGGG